TTCAAACCCTCACTTGTTTCCTACTTATGTGGCCTGAGATGAGCTATGAGTGACTTAGCTTCTTGGAGACTCCATTGCATTGGTATGAAGAATCCCTGAGTTCAGCAGTGTCTTAGCAGGGCTCAAACCTCACTGCAAGTGTGCAACCAATGTTACTTCCTTTCCTGCTTCCCCACCCACACTACTTTTTACAAGCTAGTTAACATATTCCCAATCCCAAGTCCCACTGTCCCAGAAAAAAATCAGTTGGCACTAAAAATTTTCCGTAAGTACCAAATGAACAGGGGCCAATGGTAATGAAAGAAGTTCAAGCTACATTAAAGGTTTTAGCATAAAATAAAAACCCAGGAATCAATAGGATACTGATTGGCATGTTTCAGCTAAGAGATGCAGCCCTGAACGTGATCACCTGTCTGTGCTAGGAAATTTGGAGGGCAACTATTCATGACCCATTTTAATCCCACTCTTTCCCTTCTAGAACTGAAACATGTACCTTCTTTGCTCAACATCTCTGAGGATCCAATACCCTCCGTGAAATAGCTCACCCGACCACATGGCCTAGTTCCTCAGAACCAGTCTACATATTAGCTTCCTTCTCCCTCTGAACCCCACGGCACTTTCTCTCTTGGAACACTATACACTTCCTCTCTGGCTCAATTGCCCTACCCCTGTACTTTCTCCCTTGATCACTCCCTGGGGTTGATTCCTGCTTATTTCATCTTTGTTTCCCTCTATGTAGGATTGTGCTTGGAAGGTTGTTTCTGACCTAAACGTGTGGGCCTTGGAGAAGATCTGTTTCCTCCTATGTCATAGCAAGAGGTCCAGTACCACCACCAACTCTGTTCTCAAGACTTGTGTTGCTATGTGGGATGACCAGGACTTAGTGACCCTTTGAACAAGTCAGAACCTTGCCCTATCCTGCGCCATCCGTACAATCTCCGCTGTGCATAAGCCCCATGTTACAGTCACTGCCAGCCCATCTTGCTGAGAGTCTTTCTCTGACCCTCTGCTTCCCCCCCTCCACCCCCCACCCCCCGGCATGATGGCCTTTTTTCCAAGGACAAGCCTCTTCTGGCAACATGCCCAAAGTATGTGAGACAAAATTTTACCATCCTTGCCTGGTAGCACTTCCTCCAAGACAGAATTGCTTGTGCTTTTAGCCCCGCATTTCCAAATAGAATCTGCTATCACCTTTGGGATTTGACTCAGCGCTTACAGGAAGTTCTAATAATCCCAGGCCTCTGGAGTTTTCCTATTTTAACTTTAGGCTAAACTGTGAACCTTTGGCAAGGCTCTGGGGGCCAGAAAAGATGACATTTTTCAACTAGAAGAGATCTTAAGTCATTGGAGTCCAACTGGCTTATTTTCCAGTTGAGAAGGCCAGACTCAAAGAGGGACAGTAACTGATCACTTAACAACAAAGCTGGAATCAAGGCTTCAAGATGCCCAGTTCAGAACTTTCTCGCAGGATCAGAGAAAACACAAGATGGCCAGTCTTTGAGACTTTCTCTGTTGGGACATTTTATACTTCCTGTCCAGCTCAATTCTTTTGAATTCAGTTTTATTCTTGTACTTTCTCCCTTGATTACTTTTTGGGTAGATTGCTGTTTATTTCATCTTTGTTTCCCTCTGGGACAAAATCAGTTCAAGTCTTAGCCAACATGTCCAGGACATCCATGGGTAAAGGATCCAGGAGCCATGAAGATGTGTGTGTGTGCATGTACCAGTGAGACCAAATAACCAGTAAAGCATGATTTTCTTTTTCCTTTATAATAAACTTGACATTTTCAAATAAATAAACATACACACATACGTGTCATCAAGTCTACTCTGTCTCATAGCAATGGACTGAAATCATCCTCAGTTCTGGGCAATCTTCCTTTATTTTACCAGTCATGATGGTTTTGTCTAGGAACTTGCCCCTCCTGATAACAAGCCCAAAGTATGTGAGATGAAGAAGTCTCACCATCCTTGCATCTAAGGAGCATTCTTTTTATGTGCTGTTGGATCAATTCCCCATCATAGCTGTCCGTATGCAGAACAGAACAAAACCCTGTCCAGTTGTGTGCCCCCTTCTGTTCTACTCAAGCCCATTGTTCCAGTTACTGTGTTAACCCATTTTTTGAAGGTTATCTTCCCTTCTGCTGACTTTTTACTTTTTTCAAGCATGATGACATTCTGCAAGAACTGGCCCCTTTTAACTCATCATCCTTGCTCTAAGAAAAACTCCGGCTGCACTTTTACCAACACAGATGTGTTTGTTCTTCAAGCAAACCATGATCTATTTAGTGTTCTATACCAAAACAAAACTTCAAAGGCATCCATTTTTCCTCATTCTTCCTTATTCATTCTCTGACTTTCACATGCTTATGAAGCAACTCAAAATGCCATGACTTAGACCAGGGGACCTACAGTCTTTAAGTTGACATCTTTGCTCTTTAACACGTTAAAGAGTTCCTTGGCAGAAGATTTGTTCAATGTAATGTGTCATTTAATTTCTTCACTGCTATTTCTATGGCCATTGATTGTGGATCCAAATAAAACTAAATCATGGACAACTTTAATGATTTGTCCATTTATCACAGTGTTGCTTACTGGTCCATTTTCAGGATTTTTGTTTTCTTGGTATTGAAGTTTAATCCATACTGAAGGCCATATTCTTTGATCTCCTTCCTTAAGGGCTTCAAGTCATCTTTACTTGTAGCAAGCAAGGTCATGTCATCTACATAAAGCAGGAGATACAGATCTGGATATGAATATAGATAGAGATACATTGCTGTTGTTGTTATTGTTGTTAAGAGCCATCAGTCAAGTACAACTCACAGAAACCCCGTGAACAACAGATCTGAACCCTGTCCTCTCCTCTGCCATCCTCATTATTCCTGACATACTTGAGTCCATTACTGCAGTCACTGTGTCAATCCATCTGGTTGAGGGTTTTCCTCTCTGTCACTGACCCTCCACCTTTCCAAGCAGGATGTCTCTCTCCAGGGAGTAGCATAAAGCTGTATGAGCTCTGATAGCTTAGAGGTAAGGAGTTGCACTAATAATCCACCAGCTGCCCAGTAGGCAGAAGATGTATAAACCCCTCCTATGTGATTTATAGCCTCTGAAAACCCACTAGAAGTTCAACTATGAGTTGGTTCCTACTCAGAGGCACACATAACAGCAACAATATATCTATATTTGGATATATGATGCTCTCATGGCCTAGTGGATAAGGAGTTGTGCTGCCAACTCAAAAGCAGGAGGTTCAAATCCACCAACTGCTCCTCAGACGAAAGATGGGAAATCTCCTTTCATGAGATTTACAGCCTCTGAAAACCTGCTGGGGGATCAGTTATGAGTCAGTTCCAAGTTGAAAGAACTTAACCTACATACATACATATATATGTAGCCAATTACTTTTGAGTTGGTTCTAACTCTTCTCAACCTTAAGGGCAGAGTAGAACTGCCCAATAAAGATCCCAAACTGTGAATCTTTATGGAAGCGGACTGCCAGTCTTTTTCTCGTGGACCAGCTGGTGAGTTTGAACGGCCATCATTTTAGTCAGAAGCTAAGTACTTTAACTTTGCTTCACCAGGGCTGAAGGTCTCTCTTCCTCAATCTCCCTCCAAACCCTTAGAAAGTACACACTCACCTGTATCCTCATCCCAACAGATGACGCTGTATTGTGTGCACAAGAGTTCTGGCTGTTTTTAGAGAGTGCCTACAACTCGTGGTGATCCTGTGAACTGCAGATCTAAACTTTGCCCAATCCGGTTCCATTCTCACAGCCTCTGAGACGCTCAAACCCATTGTGTCAATCTGGTTCCTCTCTTTCTCTGCATATTTCTTTTCCAAGAACTGGTCCCTCTCCCAGAGTATGTGAGATGAAATTTCACCATCTTTGTCTGCAAGGAGCACCCTAGTTGCTTTTCCTCCGAGACAGACTTGTTTGTTCTTCTGGAAGTTTAAGGATTATTCAGTACTCTTCCCCAACACCACAATCCAAAGGCATCGCTACTTCTTCTGTCATCCTCATTCCAGTAGTGTGGTGCATATGGTACCAGACTACTAACCCAAAGTTCAGTGGTTTGGGTCCACCAGCTGCTCCTCAGAAGACAGGTGGGTACTCTCCTCTTGTAAAGATTTATAGCCTCAGAAAGCCCATTGTGGAGTGGTTATGACTTAGACTAGATAGTGTATGTACAGGTTCCTGTCTCCACTTTTTCCATTCAGATCCTGCAACATTAGCGTTTTAACAAAATACACTATAGAAACTGCGTCGTGATGACTGTTTAATAGCTCGTAATTTCCTCAGCCACAGTTTTTATTGCAGGAATGTATAAACAACACTATGACTAGCATTCGTGAACACAACCCTTTGGCCACGTTTTGGATTATTTCCTTAGGACAAATTCCTAGAAGTGGAGAACAGGGATGTTTGTGAGGCTCTCAGCACTTGGTGCCAAGTAGCTTTTCAGAAGCCATGAACCAATTGCACTCCCTCCAGCTGCATGAGAGAAGAGCCTTTTGATTCACAACTGCAGCACCGCCTCACGCCGGGGGAGGGACATGCTTCCACCCCAAGCCTCTGGGCAGTCTTGACAATGGAGCCCTTGTCCAGTCCTCCCATCTTCCCTTGTAGCACTGCCTTCCATCCCTGGCTCCAGGCTTGACTGTCTGTGAGACCTCTGTTTCATCCCAGTCCAGCTTCTTGGCACTCCGGGCTGCCTCTGAGCAGAGTTCAAGGGCGAGAGATGTACCTCCCCGATGGGCTCACCGGCCCTTCCAGCCTTGGGAAGGCTCCCAGGAGAAGAGCACAGCAGAGAGCATGAGAGTTGCTGAGTCATCTGCTCCTTCGAAGAACAGCCCCACCCTTCGCCACTCAGGTCTCAGGCCTGAGAAGTCTTCATCTGAGAAGGGAAAACAGGGACCAACTTTGGAAGCAATGGCCATGGGGAAGCTAGACTGCATGTAATGACTTCTGTTTCCCCACAGGTTCTGAGACCTATCCATGAATCCCAAGAAGAAGGTGGACCTGAAACTTATCATCATCGGAGCTTTGGGGTAAACTAAGCTGAGCTCTGGGCTAGGGATTGGGAAGCAGCCTCCAGCCCAAGGGGAGTGGGACCTCTTGGAATAATTCCCATCTCCCAAGGTCCCCTTCCTGGCTAGATGTGGTACCACCAAGTGCATCTTGTTCCAAGGAAAGGAGCTTAACTAGGGTGAAGTTTGACATCAGAAGATATGGTTTGTGGTTTCAGCTCTGCAGTAACTAACTTTGGGAATTAGAGGGGTCATATATAATAAGCCCTCCCACCTCTCCCCATCCCTACCCCCCCAGGAAAGACCTGATTGGAGCTACAAAGAAGGCTACTTTCTCTGCTCTTTAACTAACCACCATTTCTATAAATTACTCCCTAGCTCCTTGTTATCCCAAGAATGATATATGGATCACAGATGTTGTTATGTACCCTCATGTTGCAACAGACTCATAGCTGACCCTCCAAGTTTTCAGAGGGGAAGAGACTGCCCATCTTTCTCCCAGGGGGCTGTTGGTGTGTTTGAACCTTGTGACTTTAGGTTGGCAGCATTAATCTATTATAAATGCAGAATCTCAGGAAGAGGTAGCAATGAAAGGGACATGAGAAGGTTTTAAGGATGGGGGGTTCATGCACATGTGCATGTGCACACATATCTGTTTGTTTTCTTTCCTCAGTGTGGGAAAGACCTCCCTCCTTCACCAGTATGTGCATAAGACGTTCTACGAGGACTACCAGACCACACTGGGGGCCAGCATCCTCTCCAAGATGATCAGACTAGATGACACAACTTTGAAACTACAGGTAAGCAGCCCTTCCACCTTCCACACTGCACACTGCACACTGCACATTACATATACCTGAAAATCACCCCATGTTCCCAGGACAATCATTCATTCAGCAGTGTGCACCAGAAACTAGGGTGGGCTCGAACAGACATGAGTCAAATGCAGCCCAAGCCTGGCTTTTGTTTTGTTGTTTTTTTAATTTAGGCCAGGTATGCCCCGGCACTCAAAGTGACATTGCTCTTTAATACTTTAAAGAGATTGTAGCAGATTTGTCTAATGCAATACATCATTTGATTTCTTTTTTTAAAATTTCCCCCTACTAGTTTATTTACAAAATTCTAATAAAATTTGAACAAATTCTTTCAATTTCCTTCACCACCCCACCCATCAAATTATACAACCTCATAATTAATTCCCCTCTCCCCTTGCACATCCACATCCTTCTGCTTCCTGCCTCTCCCACCCCTCTTGGAATGTTGGAGAGGATGTGGCAAAAAAGGAACTCTTATACACTGTTGGTGTGATTGTAAAATGGTGCTACCATTCTGGAAGGCAGTTTGGTGCATCCTCAAAAAGCTGAACAGAAATTCCATATGACCCAGCTATTCCACTACTTGGAATATACCCTGAGAATATGAGAACTGAAGCACAAATGGAGATTTGTACACCAATGTTCACAGCAGCATGATTCACCATTGTAAGAACATGGAAACAGCCCAAATGTCCAACCACAAACGAATGGATTGAGAAATTATGACACATTCACACAATGGAATACTATGCAGCACGCAGGAGCAATGATTTTGTAAATTATTACCTAACATGGGAGGGACTGGGGGCATTATGCTGAGTGAACTACATCAGTCCCACAAGGATAAATATTATATAACAAAAAAATAATGAAATTTTAAAAGGGGAGCTCTGGTGGCCTAGTGGCAAGAAGCTGCATTGTAATCTCAGAGGCATGCAGTTCAAATCCACCAGATG